ACACGAAATATAGGCCAGTCGAACTTACCTAAGAGAAAACGAAGGATACATATATATTGCTTTCATACTGAAGACAACAGGCAGTTGTTCATAAAAGCATAGTTTGCAGTACAACAAACCTTTCTTCAGTAAAATCATGCACTGACAGTCTATCTGGAAACAATCAACTATGTGAATAAACTCACTATGACTTGAGATATCATCACAGCGTGCGATGCACGTACAGTGTAACGCAGTCGGACGTGGCGAATAAAAATTAAAAACAGAGCAAAATTAACTACATAATCTAGTTATTTAATTAAAAATACATTATGAGATGACAAAATCTGTGGTTGCTTGAACGCACAGTTGACCCTGGGTGATACACTAAGTTTACATGATTGCGTTGCGGCCTAATTAACCCCGTGTTGCTAGAGTGAAATGTGATTAGAGCATCCACTTGAGAGAATACAGTAGTGAAATACACTGAGTTGTGAAAGTTAAAAAGGTGGAGTAGGTTCAAATGATGGAAGGGAAGTCAAAGTTAGAATAAGTGAAGCTGTTTATTTGAACGAAAGTGCATCGAGAGTAATATATTAAGAAAACATATAACTAAATCTTTTATTGTCTGATTTCATTGAAGAGTTTTAGATCCGATTCCTTGACGTGGTGGTAGGGTTTGCCTATCACGATGAGCCAGTCGAGCTATAATAACTGAAACGATCGTTTCTCAAGGTCCTACCATGCCAGACAGGTCGGTTGAAGAGCGATAAGACTAAAAGCAACAAACACAAGATCCGAAGGCGAAGTCGTACTGTTGACTGTACAGAGGCAATGCAACAGTAAGGTGTTTCGTTCAGACAACCAGCATAACAGCGATGCTGCCTTCACACAATGAGGGTTGTGGTTAGAAAAGGTCGACCCTCTAGCGGTCAATAAATCCCCAAAATAAATAGCTCTAAGTTTTCGACATTGGATGCTGACCATATGTTTTAATGGACTCATCTAGCTGAAGGCGCTTGGTCATGCATCCGCACCAGATCACGTGTGATAACGCTGTGCTCAACATCTACCGCAATCGCTAGCCAGATTAGGTTAGAGAATTCCGATATATTGGTAATCGCCAAATACACTCTTCCGACCTCCTCGACTCTGTCTTTTGATTTCTCTGGGTGGAAACAAATTATATTAGAAGATGTTACTGGTAGAAGCGTTGTCAAACACTGAATACCTGTGACTAAACTTTACTAGGTATTCTACTTTTCACCCTTTTTGATTTCCCTTTTTCAGGTTTTCTGTGATATAACATCTGACTTCGTTGTACGCCTTCATTAATATCTCCTATATTTCAGGAGGATATGTGGTATCAATAGCGCAACAGATTACGTTAAGTTTGACTCTTTTTTCTTGTTATTCACAGCCCTATGTTTTAATTCTATTAGTTCTACACCACGAGCTATTCGTTTCAACGCAACATTCGTTTGGCGTGCCCCCTTTTACATCAAACATTGGAGTCAGATTAACATTGTTCGTATTCTTGTGTACGAACATTTAACCCTTTGTTTCTTTGACCAATTTGTTTTACAACTTGTTAAACTGAGTAACTTATTACAGTAGTTCTTAGCGTTTATAGCAGTTTGACCTTACTTGTAAACTGGTTTACCTAATGTAGCATGTTACTTGGGAGTGAGATATTAATGTTGATGTCGTACATATACCAACGAGGTCTCGAGAAATACCAATGAGGCCTATGGTAGAGGGAGCGTAAATATATATATAAAACAAGAGTGGATCTAATACACTTCCCTGGATGACTCCACTAGTTACTGGTCTAGGTGATGAGAGATAGTCACTGTACTTTAACATTTGTTTACGCTCTGTTAAGAATGAAACGAACCATGTTTAAAGTGAGTTGTCGATTCCGAAGGACTGTAGTTTGACTAGAATCCTTTTTGTGTGGGAACTTATCAAAAGCATCCTTAAAGTATAAGAATAGGACTGATACAAGCAGTCTGTTGTCTAGCTTCAGAGTTATATCATTCAGGTAGTCTACTAGGCATGTATTGCATGATCTGGACCTAAGAATTCCATGCTGAGTGGTCGACACGAGATTATTAGTAAGTAGATGTTGGACTACCGCCGCTTTAACTACTTTTTCCATCACTCTTCATACCAATGAAGTTATGCTTATGAGACGGTAATTTTCAACATTTGCTTCAGTTCCTGTCTTAATTTTGGGAATGACGTGTATAGTTTTCCAGGCAGTGGTATCGCAAGTAATTTGAGAAGTAAAACACACATCATCACCACGTTTTAGCGTGCTAGCCGCAAAACCATCTGGTCCATCGGTGAAAGAGTGTTTCAATGTACTAATTGCTGTAGAGATATTTTGTACATTAGTAATTTCACAGGGAGGTACTGGCATTCGTTCCGAATCACTTGGTGGTTTTTCGCTAGTTAATGAGAAACAAAAGCGTTCAATAAATAGTTCCGTAACAAGTTTAGGATCTTCGTATACGTATTTGTCTTTAATGAATATGTTCCCTCTCAATTTAGAACGTTTAAGTTTAGTTCGAAGGAGTATGGTGAATGCAAATGAGTTGTTAATAAGTTTGACAGTACGTTGTTCGTGTGCAACTCTTTTTCGTGTAAGTATTGCCTCTGTTCGGACAAATATTTCTGTCGTCGTCACTAAAGAGGGGAAGTCATTAAAGTTATGGGATCGAGTACACTGTTTTTGAAAATGTCTTCGTGTACCGATCGGTATATAGAAGTCTTCGGATAAATTAGGTCTCCAGTATTCTAAAGGTACGATTTTGTTGTTGATACTTCTGGTGTTGTGATAAAATATATGAATTAGTGTGACGGTATTGTTCTCAGTAAAGAAAGTTCCGCAATCAGTATTTTTTAGGTAATTGTGGAAGTTATTCCAGTCAACCTTGCCATAGTGTCTACGAAGTGTTACAGTTTTACGTTTATCGGTTGTGGTTTTTATATTAAGGCTACATATGACGATGTTATGGTCACTACCTGGAAACGATTTTAATATACACATTATTGTGGGTGAGGTTATTGGTAAAGACTAAGTTCAAGATATTTTGATGTCTGGTAGGGCTACTAACATAGTGAGTTTGTAACAGCTTTGGTTGGTTGGTAAAGAGTTGACCTCAAACAACCAAGCATATGCCAAAACAGTACAGGTCAAGTATTCATTCACTTCCTTATTTTTATAGGCGTTATATTTCCTATTATCTTATATTTAATGTTGAGAGGCTTTGTTTGTCTGAACAAATAATCCCACACTCCACTGTGACTGTGCGACGATCTAAATAAAGACCTATTCATTAGTTGTCTGGTTTCTTCTATCAATAGCACAAGGGTTACCTATAGGCACAAAAAGTTCACTGTTCGAGCTCTGGACACTCAGTAAATGATTAATGACGTTTCAGCGCCTTGACTGGGTACCAGGAAATTTCAGGCATGTTGAAGTCACCACATATAAGCTTGCCTGTGAATGGAACGTATGATGCTAGTGTGAATACCTCCGATAATATTGCCATTTCACCCACTGATGCGTTAGGTTGACAGTGGACATAGCCGAACAGTAAAGTAATGGAACTCGATGGCTTCAAAACAATTCACACCGAATCCTTCAGTTTGTTCAGTTCAGACATATCACATAAAAGCGATTTTGAGCTAGAGTGTAAATAAGGCATCCTCCGCCTCGTCCTTTAAACTTATCACTTGTATATGGGAAATAGTAATCAAGAGATATACTTAGGTCGGAAATACTAACTTTAGTACATGCTTCAGATATCATTATGAGCGATGGTTGATAAATGGATACAAACAGGGCTAAATCCGTCTTTTTATTGCGGATCGACCTAGCGTTGATAAGACACATATTTAACAAATGACCTACTAATTTAAAATGGGTGAAAGTATCTCGATTAAAGTTGTCATAACCCTCGCGGGTGTGGTATGCGTTTGAAGTGAGGGATTGAATGTTCTTCAACAACTCGGTATTTTGATAGATAGAGTTAGTGTGGGATGTATCAAATGAGCTAGTAAAGTTACTTGGAGAGTTTACCCAGGAGGAAGGGGTGAGGTTACCCTCCGATGAAAACTGTACGGAGGGAGCAAGTTTATACCCCGCATGTGAACAAGAGTGAAACAACAGTCGAAACCCTAACAACGTTTAGATGATGACCATGTTTCAGGAACCTTAAACAGTATGGTAATAATGATTTCGGACAAAACTCAAAAGATGAGCAAAATGCATGTAAATACAGACAACCGTGGAAATATCGATAGATAAAAAGAAGAAACAAAGGAATATTCATGGCGAATAACATACACAGAGGGATTTTCTCAAACATTCTTACCAGCCGGCGAAATTCCTCCGTACAACACAAACGTCCCTTTGATACTTAAATTCATGGTTCCGACCTGATAAGTTAACATTTTTTAAAGACTGAGTAGAATTTCTAGCGATGCACCTGCCTGACATCTAGCTTCCTACTAATTTATATCGAGCCAGAACATGAATTGTATGCTAGCAGAACGTAAGAACCACGATGTATGGATTAATTTAAAATAGAAAGAAACAAAAAATTGGAGATTTGACCATCCAGTAAACAAATTGGACGGGATTATATTTAAATAGTGAAAGTGACTGATGAAAATCAGGACCAACTTTCACGCGTGATTAAGGCTGTCTGACAGCTAGTAAAGAGAGATTTTAAGAAAGTTGGAAGCGGGTTGGCAGTGAAATCTATAGTGTAAAATAGTTTATTCATAGAGTATTGGAAGGCCCCGCTTTATTGACAGTGCCGTGGACTGAAAAATTAAGTAATTTCGGATTCTTTTAAAAGTTGATTCGTCGTTTCCTTAAGGGCTCAAAATAGTACCTTATGTAGATTTACTGTCAACTATCTTTTTTTCTGTTTGATTTCATATTTCTAAGATCTCGACTGGAATGGTAAATTTATAAAGATACGTAAATCTGTTAAATGAGGACTTTTTCATTCAAGTTCATAATCATTTGGCATAATTACCAGCATTTCACCAAACCAAATTTAGAGGTCAGAATATTAATTTTCGAAGTTAAAAAAACTCCTGGATTCAAAGTATTCATTTTGAAAGAAGGAAATCAACTTTTAGTGGTTAATGTTCAAGTACAAATATCAGATTCCAACGTAGAATTTTGCTTTGTCTTAACGAATTTATGACCAAATACAATTAGCGCGCAAGTAGAAATATTCCGGCCGTTTATGTTCTTTTAAGAAATGGTCGGTAATGGTGAATACGAGGATCAAAACTCCTCAAATGCGTCATCATTTTGGGAGTGTCGAGAATATCATCGCACGGTTAAACGCGTGGATGCTGCATACAAACTTTGTAATGAATTATGTTTAATGATACAAGAACGGGCAGAATTAGAAAAAGCCTATTCATCTAATCTTAAGAAATGGTCTTCTCGGTGGCTTAGTTTCCTTGATTCTGGTCTAGAGTATGGTTCTGGATCCTCCCCTTGGAAAGGATTATGTAAGGAAGCTGAAGCTGTATCAAATGCCCATCAAGTAAGAACTTTTTCAGTGATTTAATTATCGCGACCCCTTTCAAAATGCTGGCAAATCTCTGTACTGCTAGATCTAGTGTTCAAAATGTCATCTGAGTTGGGTCATACGATTAGTCAGTTTTTGTATTTGCGTAGTGGTTTTGGCAACGATTGAGCGAATGCATACATGATGAAATCGCTCATGTTATACACATCCTTGGTTGTCGTCCTCGTTGCTGACTAGTCCTTATTAAAATACAATCTCTGTGTACTTTGCTGTTTTTCCTTTTGAGACCTTTGGTGGCTATCTTAACTGCGATTATTTATTTGTCATTAATTAGTAATAATCGGTAGCCTGAGCGCATACCATCAGTGCTTATTAGTTGTTCGTAAGTTTATACTAAAAATCATTCACGGAATTCGAAAGTTGTAATAAACAACTACAAAATTATATCTATTAGCTAAGTCGGGAAAACCTTCGGTTGGGTATTAAGTAAGTCATAATAATACTTCCATTCATGGTTTTCAGAAGAATCAGTAACAGCATGATTTGCTACTTTTTAAACTCGGGTATCTAAAGATTACGACTTGGATAGTGATTAGGTACAAATTGGGGCTGTTTGGACTTGATTTTGTCTCATTCAGGAAAATACACTTTCAGAAACTTACTAGAATAATATTAACACATGCAATTGACCTTCTGTCCTCAGTACACAAATCCGCACCTCAGTCGTTTACCTAGTTTCGTTACGTCCCCCGTATTGTCTTCTGGCTAAGTAGATTAGGTTAGTTCGTGCTACAGTAAAGTGGTTTTAGTTCACTGTCAACAAAAATAAATCGTACCAATCTATCTGCTTATTGGGAATTGCTAAAAACCTTAAAATAATTTCATCACTTGTCCTAGATAAGTGTGTTGGTGTCGGATTTTTTATTTGTGGTGAGGTTATCTTTTTAGCACGAAATATGATGAGATCTGTGGTAGTATTTAGTAGGTGGCATTGTGCGTCTAGACATGACAGTCATCCCACGATTCACATAAAGCTCTTTGTGTCAAAGAATATAATCGGCTTATTACTAAAAATTGACATGCCCTAATATATAGGTCAGTATAGGTAAGTATTGAGCAGAATTCAATCTTTACTTTCATATTGGTTACAGTTGACTGTGTTCAAACTTTAGTGGTTGTCAGTGGCAGTATGATTAAACTTATAACTATTACTAATGTCTTTAAAAGCAATCTATAGATCTAATTGTGAGTGGTGAGTATCAAGTACTACATTAACTCGTCTATTTATCGAGTTTATAGGGAGCGTTTTTAAAGTAATTAGTAATTGACGTGAATGCTAAAAATACTTTTGGACGTTCTTGCGAATAAACCTCATTTATCTAATGAATATGGTGGTCTTGAGTGATTTCAAAGGTATGAGGGAAGTTATCTCTTCCCGGTTGCTTACACAATGAAGGGTCCCTTTAGAGGTAACTGAAAAGGAAATTGGATTAGTCTTAGTGACCGGAAGCGTGACCGCGATATCCAAGAGGCAGCTGCTTGAGGCTCGCCACGCATGACCTTTTGTGGGTAATTTTTGTGTTAGCTTCGTAGTTATTGAGACCTTACCGCCGGAGACGGAATAAAGCGAGTTGTGCATTCTTCGGATTAGCCTTTCCTCATCCCCCCTTCTTTTGTGGGAAGACGGCATCGTTGTAATGCTGGTTTTTTGAAGGAAGCACCTTACTGTCGTCATACCTCTATACAGCCAGCAGTACGACTTCGCCTTTAGGCCCTGGGTTCGCTGCTTTTTGTTCTAACGCTCGTCAACCGACCTGCCTGGCATGAAAGAACCTTGAGAAAGGATTGTTCTAGCCAGTATATTCCGATTGATTCATAACGACAGGCATGGCCGACCACCAAGTCAAGGCAGCAGCACCGGTCAGGTGTAAATAAGCATAACACTGTGTGTGTGGCGTATTTTTGTACCGATATTTATGTGTTCAAATAAATAAATAAATAATAATAACACTGTGTAACCAGGGAATATCACATACTAATACAAGTGGTCACAATTAAATTTTACTAGGAAATTATAGCCTATCAAAACAAAGCAATTATTCAGGTTCAAACTGACCAGCATTTAGTTTGTTCCTACTCACCGCCTTCTCGCGGCACGAGTGTTATTTACGAAATTGGGAAGACAAAAAGCAAATGTCCAACGCTTTAACCGGGTTGGTGGATATGGAGGATCTACCTGAGGCAGTTGGAAAACCCTGATTCCAAACCAATGGTGCACATGGGCACCAGTATCCTGAGGGAACAAATGGCATGTGAACGAATCGTTGGTCACCGGCTACCATGGGACTGCATCTCTTGGCGTTGCTCCACTGCCCTGTGGATTAGACCTTCAGGTCAACGGCTCCGGGTGTGGTCTTCCCTAAGAAAACTACCTGCTTTGGTTTGGGCATCCGGGTAGTATCCCAGCCCCCACTCAAGTCGGATGATTTATGCGGCACATATCTGTTTGGTACCACCTTGCACCAATGTTTGTGTCTGAATAAATAATAATAAATAAGATTGTGGAGATTTTAAAAGTTAGTGCTTTTCATGGTGAATCACGGGTCTTTCTATTACAACCTAAGCTCTTTTTATGGAGGTGAAACCTCATGTTTGTTCATTTGTCATTCGGTCTGTAGTTGAATAACGATTAGAGCCTTATATATTTCAAAACTTTTCATAGATTATTTCTTTTTCATAAATGGCTTTGTCATTGCTGTTAAAATGCTGTGAATTGTTCAGACATTTTCACTTTTTCTACAGATGGTAACTATTGTTAGTAAAAAGTCCTCTCAACCTCATTACTTGTTTACTGAAATCAGTCTCAGTGCCGTTCTTTACGATATCTTCTGAAACTGTAATATTTTTACAGCTTGTCTTTTATATTTGTGCGTTCAGCCACTGGATGCCTAAGCTAAATATTCTAATATTTCAAATGCCTGAATTTAACCTATACTACTCATCTTAACATTACTGTTGCGCATGTATGTTTGTACTTTAGACCGTGACCAGTTGTTATATGGGTTTCAATTACAACTACTGCTTTAGGATATTAATGTTTAAACAACTAGATACCATCTCTTGGAAACACTTGATAATTACGAGTTAAATCTTAGTATACAGACCTGCATGTGGTCTTGAGGTATCATCCTGTTCCTGCCCCCAAATGTAGCTTATTATATTAATCATTTTATGATTTTTCGTGTTACGTTTTGAGTTCACTGAATCTTCCCCCCATTTCGACTGCTTTTACAAACCCCCTTTTACTTTCTTAGAAGTTTAGTACACAAGCTTTTATTTATTTATTCCCAGTTAATGTGCTCATAGTTTATCTTTTGTGAATCCAACTGGGTTTTTAACTCAGAATTCCTTACTTACGTGGATAAGTTGGAACTGGGTTAATTTGAGATCGTTTTCTTTCATCCAGAAATAATTAGTTCTAAAAATATTCAAAAACCTGTCTCAGATTCTTGGCATCTCAGTTATATCTGTGATAATGATGATTGTTAATTGGATATGTATTAATATCCTATCTTCTGTGGTGTAGTACCTGAATATAAAAGTACTTGGTTGGTTATTAGTTAATTTCTTTGAAGTTCATGAACGGTATTAGTTTTTTAACTCACTACAAATCTATCTATTTAGTCATCTATACGCGTTTGTTCATGATTAAAGTTTATGCCTTAAGGGGTCATATCTCTTCTAGTTTTGATCTTATTCAGTTTTATATAATTGTACTTCTACTCTTATTTTTAAAGAATGTACGCAACATCCTAATAGACGACATTCAAACTGGAGTTAAGCAATGGCAAAAAGAGCACTTTCACAAAAGTTCGTTACCTCCGCAGACATTGAAAGAAACAAAACAATTTGAACAAGATTTTGAATTAGCGCAGAAACAATGGTCCAAACGTTTGAAAAAAGTTCACACTACTAAAAAGGAGTATTATCAAGCTTGCAAGACAGAACGTTCACTTCAAGTTCAGGTTCGGAATGCTAAGAGTGACCCAAGTGGTACTGCTGAGCAGGTAATGTATCTATTTTTGCAAGTCAACTATATGGTTTTTAAATGTGTTTAATTTCACACTTTTTTGTGTTATGTATTTTAATTGTTTAAAGATCCCCACCATGTTTAAAGACTAATATATGGACGAAAAATATTCTTTTCGATACATTGTTTTCAGGTTCTACAATCATATATCCAAATTAATAATTCGAAAAATGGCCAGGTTTAGGGCAAAGTGGATGGTTTAAAGTGAAAGCATGTGAATTTAAGATTGTCAAACAAAATAGAATAAAATTGTTAATGTCAGTATGATAGAATGTTTATTAGAATCAGCTTATATGTTAAGTGAAAATTTTAAATTCGATCAAATGTTTAGTGGAAGATCATATTGTGCAGAAAGTTTGACTTAAGGTGGGATGAATGCTAAGCAAATAAACCATGTATTGGGGAAATCAATAAGGATGTTTTACCAATATTAATGACAATAACAATACGAAGGTTTCTGAATAAAGATAGCAGAGACAGCTAAATTTGACTACGAAAGGTCTTAAGTACAATAATCAAACTAGGTCACTCGATAGCTAAGATTACTTTTGATTAACTGACTTTGAAGTTGATCAGGGGAGGAGAAGCGGTTTAAGATATTTCTTTTGTATGTATAGCTCCGGTTTCTTAATCTAGATGGCTACTGCTGCAGCCGTTTGAAGGACTTTAATTCTGACAAACTTTGGCAAAAAATTACTGACCCGATAAATAATTGAAAGGGATTAGTTTATACTGGCGCTATGACCAGTTTGCACTAAATGGGCCAATATCGAGCTGTTGACTTTCTTCACCAGACCTTTGCTTAGCCACCCTGGAAGGTGTTCGTGAGCACAAAAATGTAACTTCCTAGAACTTCGACCAACATAACTTGCTCCACAGGAACAGTCGAACTGATAAATACAAAATGAGGTAATTCATCTTTTAGCCTTGTTGTCACCATTAGGTGCGTAGGAAACACTAATCATAGTTCTCTGGCGTCAAAAGTTTTTTTGGGTTGTTCTGCGTAATCTTTGAGTTGGTATTTCGCTAGCCGCATCTCCTCTGAATTGTAGGCGCATGATTTCTTATTCACTGTTTGTATTTCGCCTATTCTCACCGTGATCAAATATTTAATTGTAAACTTTCTAGGGTATCCGTTCTCTTTAAAAGTATTACGCAAAGTGTTTAGCTCTTCAACTATATCCGTAGAACATATAATGCGTATTCGGTAACTAGGAGTTTTGATCAGGTGTCTTTTGTACTGTAGAGGTGCAGAGTTAAGGAAATGTGTGTACTGCTCTGTCCAGGTATTTTTCTGTTTAAATTCCTTTTTAATGATCCACCCGCTCTCTTCGTTAAGAGAACGTCCGTAAAGGCTATTCTACTATCACTCTCTTATTCAGATGTAAACTCAATGGCTGGATGTACTTCATTAAACTGCCTAAGAACCTCTTGCTGTGATTTACTATCTTTACAGAGGATGAACGTATTATCCATATATCGGCAGTTAAATGTGAATTTTCGAATAATCTTTTCGAGTGAACTATTTTCTACTTTGGCTAGAAAAATGTCAGCTAATATAGGGTTCAATAATAAACCAATTGCAGTAACATCTGTTTGTTTATAGATTTCTCCGTTGAACTTGGAATTCACATTCATTGTGGATTTCAGTAATAGCTCTTACGGCTTTGATATGAACTGTAGTTTCAATTTCATTTTCACGCAGTTGTTCACATATATATTCTACGGTCTCTATGAGTGGAACATTTGTGAATAATGATGTTATATCCAAAGACATCATCTTTTGTTCCAAAGTATTTGCATTTTTGATCTTGTCAACAAATTGCAAGATATCCCGAACATTATGTTTTTCAAGTTTTTCGTGGAGAATTTTCAATATAGTTACCAACCATTTAGCTATAGTATGATAAGGAGAGTTATACATATCTAAAATTTGTCTTGATGGGATCCTCAATTTGTGTATTTTTGGCAGTCCATACAATCTTGGTTGATAGGTCCCCACTGGTTAAATCATTTCACATAAACCTGACGAGATAATCTGCTGGTCTCTGAGCTTCAAAGATCTGGTTAGCTCATTCTCTATCTTATTATTGAAATCCTTCTGGCCAGTTATTTTTTGAAATTTCAGTTTGTCATCTAAGATGATACCCATTTTGTCAATATAATCACTTTTGTTAAGAAGAATAATTCCTGAACATTTGTTAGGTTTCGTAATTAGTAATATTTCATCCTTTTGAAGTAGGTTAATAGCTTCCTTGTGCTTCTTTGTAAGAATGCTTTTGTAATTGAATTTATTGTTCGTATACTGGTGACACCAGTCTGCAATAATTGATTTAAAATGTTCTAGTTGTTGATCAGAATTTGCAACTAAATCTCGTGTTTGACTATATAGATTGTCGAACTTTGTATCTGTATCAATGTGTTTACAGTGATTACGAGTATCACAGAATTTCAGACAAGGATAATACTTCTAGTTTTCCTTTATCTAGTTCAACACTTGAGAAGTTATGCACATACCTTTTAGAGTCGGTTGGAAATTTGCTTTCAGTTGTTTTATTTCTCAGACCACATGCTTTAACTTTAAACCATCCACTTTGCCCTAAACCTGGCCATGTTTTGGATTATTAATTTGGATATATAATTGTAGAACTTAAAGAGAATTCATCGAAAAGTATATTCGTTCAAGTATTAGTCTTTGTCATGTATTTATTTAACTATATTTACCCTTGTCTTTTTTCATCAGTTCTTAAATTTTATTTTAATCATACTCAAACGATGAGGTAGTTTGATTCAGGTTGATATGGTAAAATATGAGAGATATATCATCAAGACTATTAGCATTAACTTGTAATCGAAACCCTTGGGTAAGACGAGGTTGGATTTCGTGGATTAATGGCTAAAAGTCTAATTTTTAAATTATTGAGTCAATTGCTGTAAGCTGATTTCACAAACCAGTTTGTATAGTAATTATCTGATGCACTAAATCACTGTGAACAATATAAATTAGTAATGAAATTGCTGAAATGACGATCACCTATATAACCTGAAAATTTTCGAGATTGTGATAGTCAGTTAGTGTTTTAGTTAATGCAAACGTTTAAAGAAAGAAATATCTAATGATTGAAATTTTCCTACTCATAATTTGAAGACAAGGGTATTAAGATAACACACAACTTAATGCCATTTAGGTGGTTATCAGATATTCCAAAAGTATTTTAACGATACTGTTTCACCTTTTGCTCGTTAAACATGTTTGTTCCCGTAGATTATTTTGATTATTTTCGTTTAAATAATTTAGCTACGAGAGACAAACGAGATGCGGATTAAAAAAATTAATTAATAGAATAATAATAATTTGTAATATTCCATTTTGATTTTTCATTAATTTTACATTTCTTTTTATTTCTGTTACTAATTAGTCTCAACTCGCATCAGTTTAGTATTCTCATATCTTTAAACATGCTAAAATTGTAACCATAAGTAATAAAAAACAATAGCGGTTGAAAAAGTCTTTGACTTTTTCGATAAATAATCTTCACCATTAAAATGATAGCCTTCTTAGGAAATAAATGAGCAAATAATAACCTAAAATATGGATAAGGATGAGTAAATGAAATTCAAAACACTGTTAGGAGCTGATAGTGAGTTTGAAGCTAAATACGTTGTTCAAAAGTTTTTGTGTTAAACTATTAGTTTAACAGCTTTGTGTTTGAACACTTTCAGTTCATAACTTTGAATTATTGAGGAAACCTAAACTGCAATGAAAAATTATTGAGTTCTTGATAGTTTTTTAGTAATTTTATGGGTGCTTATAGCTTACAAACCAAACCTTATTTTCATCTTTTAACTGATTTCAGTTTTAACTTTGACAGATAAATTCACTTGGTATTGTTTACTTAAATCTTCCCATTGATGTTTACTGGCTGCAATTGATCAGTCTCATATTGGCATATGTGCATACTATGCGTATTGCCTTGATATCGCCTTAATTCACTATCCATCTTTGCTTAGAATAACTAATTTTATTGCAGGGATGATGACCACAAATATGTCTTCGGAAAATTTACAGTTATCCTTGAAAATCATAAAATGATTCTTATTGTTGTATGTTAATAACACTGCAACTATCACTACCAGTGTTTTGAATTTTCCCTGTTATTTATCACGTGACAAGGTCGCCAATCAGAACACCGGCTTGTACGACATTTGCCCTGTGCCAAACCAATGACGCGTTAACCAGCAGAGCAGCCTAGAGTCAACTCTGAGTCTTTATTGGTTCTCCTTCCTCAGCCCTGCCCATTTTTGTCCAGAAAATAATGTTAGCTCCCATTATGAATCATGCATTCCAGACGTACAGTTTGTATACAAACAAACCAGACCACATCACACTATAAAATAAAAAATAAAAATTATACAAGATCAAGCCAAAAGTGACTATGACTGTGAGAGACTGTAACTAATAAATCGGGAATAAGTTAACAAGGGTAAATCGTATCGTAATAACCAGTCGGTCAAGTTGAAAGGATTATATATATATATATATATATATATATATATATATATATATATATATAGTCTAGTTACTTAATAATTATCCAACAAGAATATGTAATGATGGCTATAAATAATTTCTAGCTGTGACCATTCATTTATTCTTCGTTAGGATATAACAACCAGGAGTTTCAAATCTTTTGGAATTAATTTCATTCACGAATAAATACAATTATCTCACTTCATTATATACACACTAAATTCGAAGCTAACGAAAGAAGTCCGGCATCATTTACAGGAGTAATCGAAGTGACTTAAAAAACACAGCATTAGACAAAGTGGAAATCTTTTCTACTCACACATGAAAGTTAACAGCTGAACAAAAGGTCAATTAGTCTCTAATTCAAATAATAATATTACCGTAAACTCACATAACAAAGTTTTCGAAGACAAACGAATACAAGTGAGGTCACCCAAACTCACGTA